ATACATTTTTAGACACAAGTTGTAACGGCCGCCGTTTTCTTTGTGAGTATTTATTACACAGCGTGCTGCGGGGAAAAGCCTGTTCTAACATTTGACTCTAAGGTTTATTTTTTTAGCACCTGGCAGCTCTTTTTTACTTCTCATCCGTAAATAATCTGCTCTTTCACGTGATTCAGTTTATTTTGAAAAGTCTCAACAGGATCTTGAGCTTTATTGTGAAAGGTTTATGTGGAACATAAACAAGCGGACATGCGATGGTGTTACCGTCGTTGTTGCTAACCACAAAGCATAAAAACAGGCCCTTGTCCGTCCGTAGTGTGGTTATATTAAATATAAGAGAAAGAGAGAACTTTAAGAAATTAATATAGCCACTACAGTGACCATCAAAACGATGAAAAAATATTGCCGTAAACAGTTTATTTTGCGACACCACAAAACAAACGATAGCGTAAAATGAAACAATAGACGTTTTTATATCGTCATCCGATCTATATCGTTATATCGAACAGCCCTAGCAGGCACATCTACATTTGTAGTTAATTATCTGTTTGCACACCAGCTTTCACTTGTGTTGTCGATTATAGTTCTAGCCAGTAATAAAATATAATATCTACATAATAACTACTTACAGTTATCATTAATGTGTGTTGAAGAAGCATTCCTTAGGAGTTATCCAAAAAATAACCATTAACAGATAAGCTAAGATCTTTTCTTCATTAATTATGTTTGCACTTTTGAGTAATGGTGGGAAAAGGACGAGAATTCAGCTTGTAAAACTTATCTGCACAGCATCAATGCTGAACTGGTGACAGGTGAAATTAATGTGATTACTGCAGGATGATGGTATTTTGGCTAAAAGTGTTCATTCCTCAAGTGTTGGTTTTACGATAATCAAATTGCAACTCTCTTAAATCTGATGTCTGGTTGTCAAATTTTTGATTACCCTCAGTTACTTGTTATGGATCACTTTGAAAAATGTGTGTTTATAAAATAAACACACTTTTGTTTATTTGGGGATACACAGGTCTTTAAATGAGCTCCCAACTGGCCAGTTTGCTTGGACACTGGCCACGCCAGGCCTTCAGCAAAGTGGGAGGGTGGGTTATTAAAAAAGAAAACATGGCAGAAAAGAGTGCTAAAGAAAAAGAGGAAAAAACAAAAGACTTGTCAAAGCTTATTGTGTGGATTTGGTTGGGTTTAAGCCAAGGGTTGAGCCTTCCCATCCCTGCTTTGAGGAGATTAGATGAGGGTCTGACAGAACTGGTTTGCAGTAAGCCAAAACAAGGAGATGGGAGATCTCAAGTCTAGGGTGAAACACCGGAGATCTCTCAGTGTTTAAGGGCACTGGGGAGTAGGAGTTACTGTGAGGAGAAGCCAGCGCAGCATAAAGCCTGAAGCCATACATGGACAAACATCTTAGTGTAATTTCAGGCCTCTTTAAGGATTAGAAACATCTGTGCAGTGATGCTTGTTACACTGGCTTCATCAATATTTCACAAACGTCACAGGTGCCATCAACTTGAACATTAGTCTAGACCAGGAACTGGCTATCAGGTTCTTTATTACACTCAAAAATACTACCCCAACTCCTAAAAATTTTATACAGTGTGTGATATGTAAATAAAAAAAGAATATTTTCTGAAATCCTTAAGCTGAGAAAATAAGCCATTTTAAGCCATTTTGCATTGATGCTGCAACACATCTCAAAACTCGCAACAAGTTTGTGTTTACCACCGTGAAACATCTCCTCTTCCTTTAACAACAGTCCATAAAAAACTGCAAAATGAGGAGACCAGCTGCTGATCTTTGGGTAAATTATTTTCTTTCCTTCTTGTCTGGTATAAGATTCTAGTTGCTCCACAGTCCTGGGTGTTCTTTGTCATATTTTTGGTTTCATGATGAGCCAAATGTTTTCAGTCTGTGAAAGGTCTGGACTTCAGGCAGGACAGTTGGGCTCTTCTTCTATGAAGCCATGCTCCTGCAATAGCTGCAGTATGCAGTTTAGAATGGTCTTGTTGAAATACGCAAGGCATTCCTTGAAAAAGACATCATCTGAATGGGAGTATATGTTATTCTAAAACCTGTAAAATAGCTTTCAGCATTGCTAGTGCCTTTCCAGATGTGCAAAATGTCAATTCCAAAGGCATTAATACACCACTATACCATCAGAGCTGTAGGCTTTTCAACAGAATGCGTATAACCAGCTGGATCGTCCCTCTCCTCTTTACTCTTTTTAAGAAGAATTTTACATTTTAATTTCTCAGACCACAGAGCAGTTTTCCGCTTTGCCTCAGTCCATTTTAAATGAGCTTAGGCCCAGAGAAGACTGTAGTGTTCTGGATTGTGTTCACGATTGGCTACTTCTTTGCATGACTCAGCTTTAACCTGCATTTGTGGATGGCATGACGAACTATGTTTACTGATTCATGCCTATTTTTCATGCGGTGCAACCCGAGGGGCCAAAGATCACAGGCATCAAATACTGATTTTTAACTTTGTCCCTTGTGCACAGAGTTTTCTCCGGATTCTCTGAATCTATTATGATATCTTGTACTGCAGATAATGAGATATTAAGTCTTTAATGTTGAGGAACATTATTCTCGGCCCTGGCCCAACATTTTTTGAAACATGGTGCTGCCATTAATTTGTAAATGAGCTTATATTTACATTAAAATGGTTAATTTTCCCAAGTTTTTATGTTCTATTATGAATTACATTTTGGCTTAGCAAATATGGCAATTAGTGTATTGGGTTTATACAAACAAACTTTTTTTTTTTTTTTTTTTTTTTAAAGGATTAGATAGCCAGTGCCTCAAAAAATGTTTGTTTTTTTTAAATGAGGGCCCTTTTCCAAACAGGTTTTAAATTTACTTCGGACAGTTGGGTGGAAGATCCTTTACTTGCGCATCTCGTTAACTCATGAGCAGGTTAGCTGACAGTCTGCTTTTCAAAAGAAAACCAGCTAAGCAGCTATCCCCAAGCAGTGCAAACACGTGTTTCACTTCCTTCATGCTGCTGTTTGGGCACCATGTCTTGCAGCTGCCTCTACAGGCAGTCTCTGATCTCTCGACAGCTCTAGTCTTGGATTGTAATTAGCAACAGTCGCCCTTCTCTACTAATTGAAAGATCCAAAGAGAAGAACAAACAGCACAAACCAAAACTTCTAGCAGGTGGAAAGTTGGTTTTTGTGATTAGAAAGCCGACTAGACAGACCTGGAGAATAGGTTTCTAGGATGACAGACTCCCTGGTAGGCAGCTGACTGACATCAAAAACAACCACAATAGCTATTTAACAGTTCTTCTGTAGACAGAAGAAAGCATGATGGAGCAGACTAACAGATCAAGACCTTCAGAATAAAATCAAAGTGAAACATAGAGTGTAGCCCAGTAACACTCAGCTGGTCTGTGAGGAACATCCATGCTACCACAAGAGGCCAAGATGCCTGAAAATCATCCTGTAATTAAGAGAGAAGACTGCTACCTACCCTTCTTACTCACTGTTTTAAGTATGTGACAATATATTTTTAAAAATGTGATTGAGCAGCATTACATTCTCACATACACATGCACGCACACGCATTCCACTGCAATGACAGCAGCTGTGGGACGTCTGGTTGTACCTGTCGCGCCCTGTGGTCCGTGTCAATGCCATGCTTCCTGAGGCAGGCTAGACCGCGGGCATCCGGTAAGCTGCCTAGATTCCAGTCTGATGTGGCACCACTGTCTATGATCCACTGCAACAGAGAACAAAAAGGGGGCGCTAGCTACGTCTTGAGAGAGGTGGTGGGTGATCATACCTGCCTGGCCACATGCCTCATGGGCACGCCATGCTTCTTCATGCAGGCTTGACCACGGTGGTCTGGAGGGTTTCCTATCTCATAGGTGGAGGTGGCAGCACTGTCTATCCTCCACTAGGCAGAACAAAGCATGGGAATCAGAAACTCAACAAAACTGAATTACAGTCTCATAAAGAAAGAAGTTTCTTTACAGAATAAAGGGCAACTCCACAGGTTAAACTGAAGGTAAATGTTCCTAATAATCTTTAGAGACTGTAAGCAGGTCATTATTATCCGAATTGAATTCAGTGAGGAATTTTGAACTTTCATTTTTTCCATTTTAAATCAATGTACTGCAGTTAGCAATTAATTAGCAAAAGTTAATTTCATATAGAATTTCTCTCCAGAGACCAGGACTATAAAACTGCCAAGTTAATACTGCCAAATTAAAAATATATATTATCAACCAACCAGTATGAAGAAATAATTTTCCTCACTAATGCCAGAGGAAATATTTTTGAGACTAGTTCTTGATATGTTATTCATATTGTAGTGTTATACGTAATATGTAAAGGGCTCTTCAAACGAGCAACACTGAACAGAACATTTAAGGTGAGTGGCTGACACTTCTGTTGTCATTTCCATAGTTGTATCAAATGGCAGAGTTAAAAACAGAAAAAATGTGTACAACAGATCTGTAGCACGAAATTAAAACATATGTCAACAATGACTTTACCTGATCAACGATGCCACCATCAGTTGCCATCTTCCTGAAGACTGCTTCAGCAATGGGGGATCGGCAGATATTCCCTGTTCAACACCACAAACAACATCACCATATTAAAGGGATAAGGATATATTTATAAAATATAAATTATTTACTTAATGCCTTTACAGAAAACTGCAATATCCCAGTGGTAATACACATAACTTCAGTATATCATAAAGATATATGTTTGATATTTTAAAATACAAACTTTTCTGTATAAATGGATTTCAACTGCTAAAACAAAAAAGAAATGTATTGTGAAACTGACTAAAGCTCTATACTTTAGTTTTGGACTGTGTCAACAACTAAAATGACTTGAGTCGAGGCCAGATATTGATTAAGCTTTTTTCTTTCTTATTCTGTGCACTGTGATTGCCTCCTGGGACAGCATCTGAGACAACAGGCGAAAAGGGGCAAAACTTTTACAATATTTTAACACCTGAAAAAATATTTCTAAAACTTAAGCTCATATTTTAACATTTAGACCCATGCAGAAGTCCAGCATATTACTGGCAACATCCAAAGACAATGGATTTACTGGGCATATATAAAACTCACAACTTTGTGAACAGTGACTTTTTTTAAAATGTCCTAAACAAAATCTAGAATCTAATAAAAGATCTAATTGAAGAGCAGACTTTTGGCTTAAATTTAATGCAATTAACATAAAACAAATTAATTAAAAATATTTTCAGGGGCTTAATTAGTCAAATTGAATAAACCATAAATAAAATGTTCACAGCTTTTGTCTAACCTGCCCAATTATCTGTGTTGTTTTACAAAAGGCCAGTACTACTTGAACCCTTCCTCCAATTAGGATGTCAATAGCACCAGAGATAAAAGTATGCCACCAAAAAAAAAAACAAAAAAAAAAAACCTAAACGGGATGCTTTAGTAAATGGCTAAAATAACAACTAATCTGTTAATGTCCAAAATATATAACATAAAATCTATGTGTGCCTTAACTTGTAATGTTTAAGTTATTTTTTTGGCAGTTGCATCAAGCAGTTTCTAAAATGTTTGATCACGTTTAGTATTTTTTTTTCAGGAAACAGTCCATTAGTAAAGTAAAATCCTCTGTAGAAGCTTTAATGAAATATGAAACGAATTATAATGAAAAATCTACCACTCAAACTAATAACAGAGCCAACCTACACTCTGCTACATCTGGAAAACTATTTCAGAATTGGACACACATGCTTCAAATTATCTGCAGTGACGTTTCCGTGCTGAGGTGAGTTCCTGACAGCTTTCACTTTGGATTCTTTGAGCTTAGACACGTATCTCTCCAGTTAAACACGGACACCTTGCTTGACGTTTACACATAAAGCCACAGCTAATTAGATACCAAACATACACACATGGAAGTTAAAAGTTTAAGAGCCTTAAGTGTGTTTGACAGCTCGCAGCTTCGCGTTCATTGTAGCTAGTACATAGTTAGCACTCTGAGGTACATCTAACGAAGCTCAGTTCATTTCATTTATTAAAATGCGATGAGTTGACCTGCTGACAGAATGACATGTTTGCTTTTAAGCAGTAACACGTGTAAGTTTTAACTGAGGTTTTGTGGGTTTAAAAGACGTCTCTTACCCAAACAAACGAACAAAACCGACTTTGTACCCGTCGCCGCCATGTTGAAAGGTCCTGTACGACGCCGGCTAACGTGGCGGCCAAGTACTGCCTGAACAAAAGTATAGCACGATGACAGTGCTGAAGGGTTCAAGTATGAACCACATGCGCCTTAAATTTAAAGATTATTACTCTCATTTACATTTACATTGGAAATTATAAGCACGCCACAGCAAAGAAGATGGTGCTCGCAACAACAGACTGATAACACATGTAGAGCCAGCCTGCTGCATAATTTGAAGGATCTGAACCTTCATAGAAGGTAAAGCCGGCTCGAACCCTTTTTGTAGGCAGCATCCGTGTTGGCAGACCACACCAGCTTGTGATCCAGTTGAACTCCCAGATACTTGTAGGATGTGACTATTTTGACATCAGTCCCACCAATGCAGACAAGGGGAGGGTCGGGATCTGTTTCTGCCAAAGTCCACCACCAGCTCCTTTGTTTTGGCCACATTCAGCTGCAAGTGGTTCTCCTCACACAACCTCATGAACCAATCAATCATTCCTCTGTACTCCTCTTCCCTTCCCATCTCCACGCTTCCAATAATGGCCGTGTCTTCAGAGAATTTCTGAAGGAGGCACGTTTCTGTGATGTACTTGAAGTAGGCTGTATAGATGGTGAAGAGGAAAGGGGACAGAAAAGTTCACTGGGGTGCTCCTATGTTGCTCTTCAGACTCTGACACACAGCTCTGCAGTCTCACAAACTGCGATCTGCCTGTCAGGTAGTCAAATGGAGAAAATGAGAGACAGGAGCGCTGATGGAGTAAAGTTGAAGTGCAGGGGATCAGTTGGATGGGAAGTGAGGGTAACTTTAAAGAGAATGACGAGTAGAGAGGCAGTTGTCCAGATGATTTACCTGTGAAGGTGTGGAGGTATCTAAGAGAGAGGCCAGTGGACTTTTGAAATGGTTGTTTAATAATAATAATAATAATGGATTGGATTTATATAGCGCTTTTCAAGGCACCCAAAGCGCTTTACAATACCACTATTCATTCACTCTCACATTCACACACTGGTGGAGGCAAGCTACAGTTGTAGCCACAGCTGCCCTGGGGCAGACTGACAGAAGCGAGGCTGCCATATCGCGCCATCGGCCCCTCTGGCCAACACCAGTAGGCGGAGGGTAAAGTGTCTTGCCCAAGGACACAACGACCAGGACAGAGAGCCCAGGGATCAAACCGGCGACCTTCTGGTTACAGATGCGCTTCCCAACCCCTTGAGCCACGGTCGCCCCAAACACAGTCTTCAAGAGTGAGAGGATGCCTGAAGATGGACTGGTTCTTAAATATCACTTTTTTACTCTGAACACTCAAACCACTTTACAAAACTTGCTTCATTCATCTGTTAGGACCAGCATTTTTTTAATTCTATTTCTACGTAAGTGCCTTGCGTCTAACATTCACACACATTCATACTCCGATGGACTCATTAGAGAGCAACTTGGAGTTAATATGTAGACTGGAGAGATGGGGATTGAACCACCAACTGATTCCGATTAGTAAGGTGACCTGCTCTACCACCTGCTCTACAGCCACATGACTCGTTGAAGCTAGTTCAAGAAGAGAATCAGCAATATGATTTCATGCTGAGAAAGAACACTACAGATGCAGTGTTAGCAAAGATTAACACTGTGGTACTGCATGAGGAGGTTAGGCGTGGCAGAGAAGTATGTGAGGGTGGTAAAGGACATGTATGAGCACAGTGAGACAGTGGTGAGGTGTGCAGGAGGAGTGATGAATAGGTTCAGGGAGGTGGAAGGTGGGATTATATCAGGATACATTGGCTTTGAGCCCATTCTTGTTTGCAGTGGTGATGGACAGGCTGACAGATAAGGTCAGACAGGAGTCTCCATGGACTATGATGTTTACGAGCATTTGGAAGAGAGCCTGGAGAAGTGGAGATGTGCTCTTTAGAGAAGTGGAAAGAAACTTAGTAGAAGCAAAACAGCATATGTATGTGGATGACAGTGAGACAAGTGGAAAGTTCAAACAGCATGAAGCAGAGGTCAAATGTCTAGTTCTGCTAGTTCATTATGAGTCAGTAAAGGACTAGATGTTACAATCCCGGACAATGCATTGCTTTTAATGGAAAAAATCTTGAGGGATGGCTGTTATGAGGAAATGCAGCCCAGAAACTTTACCACATCGTTGTGTGGCACAACTTTAGTTCTTTTACCCAAACTAACCTGCCATTTTCCCTGGTTAGGTTTAGGGATTAGAGATCTGATCTAAATTGTTAAAATTTGGGACACACGGTCAGTAGTGGACCTTGGATTCATCAGGTGTTTCGGCCATTATCACTAAACACCCTCATCCAAGGAGGCCCTGCCAGGGTTGATCAGGCCCTGGAGTGTGTCAATAGTTTATGTTAAAATAAACAATTAAAGGTGGAGTGGAGAATTCAGAGTTATAGAAGTCTAAGCAAAAGACAAACCTCAAAATTAAAAACTAGACATTGCAGGAAAAATGGAAGCAAGAAATGTAATGATAAATTTGAGGCAAAAGACTATTTAATTCTGGTCCCAAGTCATCAGCTTCAGACTGACTAAAAGGGAATCATTAGAAGAGCAGGAACCAAAGTGAAAAAGCATGTAACATGGCAAGAATCTAAGTGTTATGTACTGAGATCTGAAAATTTGCTGTGCCATGCTTTTTAATCTCTCTTTCTGCTTCTTACCCTCACCTTAGCCAGTGATGACGACTATTGCTAATTGAAGGGGACACACTACTTCTGAGAAGAAGCTCAAAATGACATGGGTAAATAGACTGTTGAATGACAGATCAAAATATTACCTCGAAAAACAGAGAAAAACATTTAAAAGAGCAACCTGCCAGGAAATTGTCAAAAAAAAATTTAGTTTTAGTTGGTTTTCTTAAATATGTTGCTATTTAAAATAATCTTCAGTGTTTCATTAAGTGAAGCAAGTTTAGGCCTGTGATTCACCTTTGAGGAATGTTTAAGAATATTTTTTTCTTCTTTTTTTTAATGATGTCTTTAAGTGGAAAACCTAGCAATTAGATGCAGGTGGTATATCTTCTATAATTATCTATAGCCACCACTGGCCCCAAGCCTAATCCCCCTTTCAATGCCAACTCGAATATGATAATGAAGGATCAAAGTAATTATCACACCATCAAGTCTCCCATTAAACTTTGATAAGCAGTGGCTAATATTCATTATTAATTCCACACAAAAAAACATGTTCACACTACATCATCAAAGTGTAAAAACTTACTGTTTTCCCTTATTTCAGCATTTTCCAATTACCATTAATCACCTTTAGGCCCATGAAGTATGTTTCAAGAAAGAATAACAGTCATGTTTTCTATGTACTAGTTTCAAATAATTATAGCATTTAAGTGATTCTCCAATCATTGCATTTTTATGATATTTACATTTTAAAACAGTTCCTTCCTTGTGGAAATAGATGTTGTTTGCTCATTTCCTCTGGTTTGCCGCTGTATTAAATATACTTGTAACAGGGCGGCCCTTAGCGGCTGGAAACACAGTGAGGTGGACCAAGGCAAGTATAGTGGAACAAAGTATTTATTTTCTATGCAGCTCTCCTTACAACAATTTGTCGAGCTTCTTCACAGCACAAAAAAATCCACACTCTAATGACAACTGGCAGCCTTAAATATGTTCAGCTGTCACAGACTAAACCATTATTCCACTCTCAGGTAAGTTATTAAATCCCAACCTTCCACCACAGTATACAATATATCAATAAGAATAAATAAATACATAAATACATTTCACATATTAATAAATATTTCACACTTTAATATTACACCAAACCCAATATTATAAAAACCCTGAAACCCAAGCACAAAAAGATTCACCACACTCTCTTTACCAATGGTCTCTCCCGGAACCTTTAAATGGTGTCTGGATCGCCGGGGAAACATTTGCCCAAACACCCTGAAGAGGACACAGGCAAGAAAGGTGAGTAATCATTATCTTACACTTATTTGCACTACTTTTATCCCTAGATTTCACCCACATTTGCATTCGTTTTCCTTACTGGTAAACCTTAATCACAATTTCAATCACCATTCTTTTCTCCTGACAGACAACCACCACATTCCTTGATGAGAAACAGCTGTGCAGGATCTGAAATAAGGCTACCAACTGATTATAAAATTCCCAATAAATAGTCAATAAATATTTAAACTTCTTGTGTGCAAATGTTTTACTGTGCAAATCCATGCTTAAAGTGCAATGCTAAATAAAGTGCTTGATAAGGTGCTTTTAATAAAGTGAAAGGTGTGCTCTAAAGTGCTATACAGATAATATAATATAAATAAATGTAGTAAGGGAGTCCTCTTCCTTACAATACTTCATCACTAAATTTAAAACACTGTACTTGAGAAATATTATTCCTAAAACCATGTTAAAGGCTGTAATACAAAACAGTCTTTTTTTGGCACAAATGTCAAAACACAATAAAACTACATTAAATTAAAAAAAAAAAAAAATGGAACAGTAAGCACTCTGCAAGTTCAGACAGTATTTATTATAAATATTTCAAAAGAAATGAACATTAGTACAAAACAAGGCTGTTTGGGGAAGAATGGTTTCAATGCATTTTAATGGCTGGCTTAACTGTTCTTGGAGCATGAACAAATTCCTGGAAAGAATGCTCCTAATTGACTGAAAAACAGCAGCGTTTCATTATTGGTCATAGCATGCGCTCACTACCATGATCACCTTCTTTTTCTTTTTTTCCCAAGCTTTATTTTCATTTTTAAATTGGAAAACAAACAAAGCAACAACAAAACTCTAGCTAGCTCATTAATCCAGTGTCTCAATGTTGGAGAATTTTCAGATTTCCAATGTAGCAGAATACATTTTTTCACTGTTGTACTCGCAAGTAAAATAAAATATTTCTTATGGTAATTCACATTAATAGAACCTGTGTCACCTAGAATCCATAGTTTTGGGTCCAGTTCAATTTGGATCCCCATTACCCTTGAGATTATTTCAATGGCCCGTCTCCAGAACTCTTCTATCACTGGGCAATTCCACAGCATGTGCAGGAGATCACCATCTGCCACCTTATACCTCAAACATTTGGGGGAATAATTATTATCAATTTT